CAAGCTTGGTGTCACCAATGAGCTTCTAGCTGGTGTAGTACCTGTTGAATCCACCAAGTCAAATCGACTGGAACCTGCTGTGGAAAGCTATTTAGCTGCAAAAGAACATGAAAATAATGCTAGTGCTCCTGAGCAGCAGCTGGACGAGCGATTGAGTTTCTTACCTGAGTTAATGGCATCAGCAAAAAAGGCGGCATTGCAGGGTGTGAAGGAGGTGAAAGATAGAGTGCAAGAAGATGCTGGCCTGGGCATTGAGCTTAATGCTATTGCAAAAGAAGATGATCATAATGTCACAGATGAAGTGGTGAGATTCAATTATGCTCTTTCATAATGGTTTTCTATGGCATCTTCAGTCATCCTGATATTCCTTTTTGATTGTGTAGGATGGCAGCGGTGACTTGGAGATTGATTCTGATAATGATAATATTAACATTTCTAAGATAGAGCCAACCAAAGCTGAGGCAGAGGCAATTGACAGAGGATTGCAGGTTCCTATAGACACGCACACACGTATATATGAATTTTTGTTTGTCAGCTTGAGTGCTATAATTAATTGTTACTATATTATTCCATGTAGTCAATAAAAAATGAAGATCTGGAAGAAATCCGGGAATTAGGATCTGGCACATATGGCGCTGTGTATCATGGCAAGTGGAAGGGCTCTGACGTTGCAATAAAGAGAATCAAAGCCAGCTGTTTTGCGGGAAAGCCATCTGAAAGGGAACGCCTGGTATGCTTTTTGTTAATTTTATTACCTTGTCTTTATTACAAATGCGTTTCCACTACATCCAAATTCACATTTGACCAGTGATATCCATTCTTTATTGTTTTACTCTTTCATGGTTCTATATTTTAGAATTACTGGGGAGGACAAATTTCTATTTTTGCACTGGGCTAATAAATAGAAAAGAAAAAAATTTAAAAATTTTCTTTTACATAGGAAAAACATTAATGGGCCTCCCCTATCTCCACCCCTGTATGAGATGTCATGAGTGTTAACTTTTCTAAATATGGAGGTTTGAGCAGATAGTGTAAGTAATTGTTGGCCTCCTAATGATAAAGGTATGTAAATGATAGTTTTATCCCTGAAGCTTTGACCAACGATAAATTTTGCTTAGGCTACTGTGATATCTGTGCTGCACGTCACTGTTAAATGAGATTACTCATATTTGTCGATTTTATTGATGAAAATTTATGTTCATTGTTTGTTGCATTTCCTTTTCACCTTGGCAACTTGAGTGAAAAAACGAGAAAAATAGAATAAGATCTCTCGTTTTTTCATGAACTAGTAGGATGAGGGTGTTTTGGGTCACTGTTTTTGTTCCTTGTTCTAGAATAGTTTGTGAAACCTCATGATGATACTGTCTAAGCTAGCGAATTTATTTATTAGTTAAAACACTGTCTAAGCTAGCGGGATTTATTTCTTTTTCTCTTCTGATTAGTTATAAATTTAGGCAATTATTACGAGTGCTGATTCATGGGAACCCCATAAAGTTAAAGCAATTCATGTCTTTTAAGCCGGCTGCATGGGGTTATGTTACTACGGAGATCTATGGGCAAGGAATACGATCAAAATAGATTATTTATGTTATTTATGACTCTGTGCAAAACTTATCAATTCATTCTACTATTATAATGTCACATTTGATAGCTAAGCTTTAGAAAAAAATATAAAAGGAAGCATTCTTATGGGATTCAGATGCTACTGGGTTGTATGTGGGAATATGTATTTCTGGCTTGTTCTTCTTCGTAGTAAATCAGGCAGAAACATTATCAGTTGTAATAAAATCTTTCTTGATATTGAGAAGGTGTGCAAAAATCTACTCCCGCTGCAAATACAAGATTTAAATATGTACTTATGGTAATTCTGTAGACCAACTTTTCCTGTCAGTTGCTGGCTTATTGTGTTCTTTGGTTTTCATTTCTGCAATGAAAACTGATGCATCCAGATTTAGCTAGACAGATCAGAGTGCTTGTTGAATGGTATTAAATGTTTATGTTTGGACAGGTGGCCCATAGTAGCTCATATTGTTCATTAATGTGAAATATGTTGTTACTTAAAGATCTACGAGGCTGTGCAGATATCTCAAATTAAATCCCAACTAGCAAAGTCAAAATTCAAGTGGACCGAGAGAAAGAGTGGACTTCTATTCTATTGCAGTCTGTACATATCATTTAAATGAGGTTGATTTACAAAGAAAAGTTGATAAGAAAAAACAATGAGAAAAATGTAGGCAGATTGAAGATCTCATGATTGCTATTTGGGCTGGCTACCGTTCAGTTCTCTGTCCACTGCAATATAGATTGTGATGATACACTATTCAACCTGAATTTTGATGGAACGCTTTCATTGAGAATCATGCTCATCTTCATACTGATATTGAGAATGAGCTTTTATTATGTTACCCTCCCCCTTTCTTTGTTTCAAGTTGGAAGTGGCTAAAGAGGCCCAACGACATTTAGAAAGTATAATTGGCTTTCCAGTACTTTCCCACCTGGGGTATGAAAAACTTGTTGATTATGAGAGCTATTGACTATTAAGTTTCCACATACTGTCGCAGCTTATAGTTTTCTAATCTCGTTTCAGTTTGACCTCCGTACTTGTGCATTTACTTCCAATCCTTCTGAGGAAAGGAGGAAGGATCACACACACACACACGCACACACATATATATATCATACTCGTTCACTCAGTGTCATCCCCTTCATCTTCAATCGTGACTTCGAAGTCTATTTTTATCCTTCTGATCCTATTCTTGATCCAATGTGGAGACAGGTTAAGTTTGTTATACCTTTCATGACTCTTTTAAGAATAACCAATCCATGGATAGGTTGGAGTATCACAGGAGGGACCGTGCTCTATATTTCTAAGTTCATAGCCTTCACGTTAGCTTCATCGATATTACCTACCAAAAAAAAGGCCTGTTCTGGAAGACCATCTAATTCTCCGGAAATGATCAATTGAAACCCTCTAATGGTCAGCGACCACCACAAACCATTATCACGACTCCATAGCATCTATTTGGAGAAATCAAACTCAGGAAAAAAAATAATAATAGATCTGGTGGTAACAAGGCAACTGAGGGGTGTTGATACTACTCGCAGTGACGATGAGCGCCATCATCGCTATTGTACGACGCGACGATGAGCGCTGCTGCGGGGCGGTGCCTGTGTCGAATTGTGATGATGGTTTTTTCGGCGCAAGCGACGGCATCGAAAGGTCCAGTGGTGCTGTAGTCGGAGGGGAGAGCAAGAGAGATTAGGGCCTTGTTTGAGCCACTTTTTTGTAAAATTAGAATGAAAAATATAGCCGTTATTGGGGCCCACACAAGAGATAGAAAATTTGAATTTAAATGTTGATGTGATGGATAACGGTCATATTTTTCATTTTAATGAGAAAATAAGATGGCCCAAACGGGGGCTAGAGAATGAGATATTAGTGTGTGTGTGTGTGCGCGCGCGCGCGCGTATTATTTAGAGAGAGTGAGAGATATTAAGGTTTGGGAGGAATTTGTATATTTTAAATTTAAATATAAAAATTTGATTTGTGAATAATGAAACTTCCTTCCTGTTTTTAGAATATTAATTTTTAAAAATAGAATGTGGTAATTTTCAGTTGGATTACTCTATTTGTATAACTATTCTCTACCCCTCGAGTTACATTCTCTTATATGTCAAAAATCTAGTCATACATTGAAAAATATGTTGCTAAAATCAATGCACCAAAATCTGTCAACTCACAAGGTGTAAATCAATGTGTTAACATTTATGTACATGTTGCATTATTCTTTTCACTCAAAAGTCTTTTTGAGCCCTATTTCTTAAGAATGTATTTTGAAATAGTAGATTGATAGAGATTGTGTGGTTGAAAAATATGAAAAAAAATTTGAGTTTATGTGCAATATTATTTTATTGAATAATGAGTGTTTAAAAAGAAAAGAAAAAAATATATTTTGAAAATAATAGAAATAAAAAAAGGGTCAATCCTTTCAACCTGTTCAAGCAGCATTAATCCATGTGGCGCCCATGGCCTCGTACAACCAGCACACCCCCAACCTTCAAAGCAACTTTGTTAGCCCTCATGGCACATCTCCAAGTAATAAAAGGGGAAGATGGAAAAACTCTAATTTTGCTTGAGGTTGTCGCGTCAAGGGTTCGAATCCTGAAATATGGATTTGATCTTTGGGTAAGTGCAAGTGTACAAGCAGCTTTCCACTCTGTATCCTTGGAGATATAATCTGCGAGTTCCCTCCTTCACCAAAATCCAGCACATGGTAGGTGGGGATCGTCAAAGATGTCGCTCATTGTTCATTGAATTATGTACTCGTCCTTGCTTAATAAATGCCATTATCTACCACCGTCCTATCGTCCATCTGCCACCGGACAGGACACCCCTGCATACCACTTGCATACAAACATTAGCCTTGCATACAAACATTGAAATCATGTATAAATAGATAGTTTCCCAGTTTGGATCCGCAACCATTAGCTTTTCTATATCAGTGTGTGAAAATGGAGCCGGAGAAGAGCAGTCGAGTGAAAGTCCGTTCACTGCTCAGTGTAGTGTCTTGCAAGCCGATTGAGCCGGGGAAGACTTTGAAACTTTCTTCTTTGGATCATGCACTGGGACTTCACAGTGTCCATGTCGTTTTTTACTACGAGTCAAATCCATTTGACGAAGGTCCACACTCAACGGACATGGACAATCTCCGGATCGCTCTCTCGGATCTACTGAATAAGTACCCGAAAGTAACGGGTCGGTTGACCCGAGATGTGGATGGAAATTGGGAAGTTAAGTGCAATGATGCTGGTATGAGGATTGTGAGGGCTGAAGTAAGCTCCACCATTGATGAGTGGTTGAGATCTGCTGATGCTTTGGAGGAGCGAGATCTAACGGTGTGGGAGGACATGCCGGAAGATCCAAGTATCTGGTCACCATTTCGAATCCAGGTATATACCGTTTATTGTGATTTTTTTTTTAAAATTTCAAATTGGGTATTGAATTAGGGTTTTGAGCTAGATTTCTAAGTTGGACAGGAAGATTATTGTAGTTGGATAAATTGAAAAGTAATTCCCATGGAATAATTTTGCAGATAAATAATTTCAATTGTGGGGGTTTGGCAATTGGCCTCAGCTGTAGTCACATGCATGCGGATCTCACAAGTGCAACGCTGCTTTTCAAATCATGGACCGAATTTCATCGAGGCCAACCCTTAACTTACCATCCTATTTTTCATCTCCCTTCAACAAATGGTCGATCTTCACAAGATACTCGCACCGAATCAACTGAATTGTATGCAGCAAAATCCACAGTCGAAACTAACCCTGTGAAAATGGGCACGGCAACTTTAAGATTTCCCGATTCATCAATCAAGAAATGTCTCTCTCGAGTCCACTCCAAGTGCGAGAATGCCACTCCCTTCGATCTGCTCGTCGCATTGTTTTGGTCCCGTATTGCAAGGTTGAAGAAACCAACAAATGGGGTTAAGCATTCCTTATCCTTTTGCGTAGATTTGAGAAAGCATTCAAATAAGTCCGTCCCTTTTGGATATTTTGGCAATGCATTGAGTTTTTCATCACTGTCTTTGAATACTGAAGAATTGTTGGAAAGTCATGGACTAGGCAATGTCTCGAAGCATGTCCATAGGCATATGGCCGGTCTTGAGGATGAATTTTGGTCAGCTCTAGATGTGTTTGATACGCGCAAGGAAGAAGGGACCAAGTTTGCTCCACCATTTAGAATGTATGGCCCCGAACTTACTTGCATTAGCATGGAACACATGATAAATCCCGAGGGTCGGTCGATGACATTTGACACGATGTTCAAGGAGGGTGAGAAACCCGTTCACGTGAGTTATCAACTGGGGAACGTGGAAGGTGAAGGGCTAATTTTGATTATGCCTGCCGCTGAAGAGGGGCTTGGGCGAATAGTAAGGGTGATGCTACCGGAGGAACAGATTGACATGCTACTCAAGGATGAAGTCATACTAGATTTAGAGCCAACACTTACTCCTTAGGCGGAGAAGACACAGAATTTGTCTTTTGAAAGGTTCTTAATCCATTGATTGATTTGTAACGTGAGTAGGAATCATACAAGCATTCAACGAATGCTTATAAGGATTGTGATTACAAGTATATTTTGGATTTGGGCAGAGCTGCCCAATTATTTCAAAAACTCAATTTCAACCACACATTTTTTAATAAAATAATTTTACATATAAATCAAATTTTTTTTCTTATTTTTAAACAACACATTCTCCCAAAATTCATTATTTCAAAATAATTTTTTTCCCCAAAACGCTCGTTTTACACTAGCATATACTTACCCAAGCATTTTAGTCAAATAATGCTAGGCATAGAACCTCCCCACTATCCTATAAGTTATACCCCCCCCCTGAAAATTTCATTAATTGGATTTTTGGTTTATAATCCTACACACGAGGTTATTCAACAGTGGAGATTGCAACAACGATATCGGAGTAAATTATAAATATAAACTGGTTCAATTATTTAATAGTCTTCTAAAAGTGGACATTCAACTAGTGATACACAGCAATAAAAACTAGTGAATGCCAAAGAACTGCAAAGGGAATTCATGGTGTCCACCAAGGAAAATAACAGTCAACAAATAGGCATTATGCAATCAAGTACATCATACGTTTCGTTAGCCCCCTTTCACTTTAGAGGTGGAGTGTTGGCAAATCTCCACGAGACCTGGACAAAAACGTCGAGAGTTCTCGACCCAGCAACTTCATCAATGGGAACAGCATCAGATATCTCTTTCAAATCATTGCTTGTAAGCTTCACTTTCACGGAACCAATATTTTCGTGGAGATTTTTTATTTTGGTTGTACCTAAGAATATTACAAGATTGGGTTAAAACATATGCAGAAAGCTTCATGATAGAATCTAGAGTATCTAAAACAAGAACTTTAGGCAAGAATTCTAATCGAGCACACCATAGACTCCTAATCAGGGAATACAAAGATACATAGTTATAATAGACAGCATGCCAAAGTCTTATAAAACTATACCCAAAACTAAACTATATACACGCCTCGAGGAGGCATGTAAGATGATATCATAGTCTACACCTCTGACTCTACTATTCCGCATCTATTCATGTGCAATTAACATTTTGTTTTTCTTTCCTTGCAAATCTTTGACCGACTCAAGGCTCAGAGAGCTGGTGGTGGTGGTGGTGAATAACACAAGGCATGAATGAATGCAAAAATGGAAACCTAGCATCCCATAGATATTTGTTTTGTAGATCTGTCGCCACTTGGTGAGATCGGAAACCCCCATGTCAATTTTTGGGGAGCCCTTCACCTTTCAAGAGTCATAGCCCCTTTCCGTCATCAAGTGAATGACTTAAGAATCATGCATCAAAAGGGGAGTAATGCTTCACGACCTTCACTATAGTCAACACTTGTGGGAACATCGAACTTTCATAGAGGAGAACATAAAGGAGGACATCTAGTGGCAGGGCATCTCCTCTTGCACCTTAGTGGCATCAACTGGTATGACCAAGTTTGGAGAGATCTTGAGTCTTAGACATGGAACCTCTTTGAGAGAGAGACCTAATATTAAAGTATCGCTCAACAAAATGCGAGTACCCAGAATCTAAAAAGGCCGCAATGGTAATTGTAGAGCTCAAGATGTCAGATAGGACTTCTCCTTCCTGTCCAAAAATAGCAAGAATCAAGCTACGAAGCTATGATATCCACTGGTTTCTTTCTTTTTGCGGGTGAATCACTCCTCTTTGTTTATCGATTACTTGAACCTAAACACTTTAAGGGCCTCATTGGGAGTTTCGGCTATGAGCGTTTTTTTAAAATATTAGTTTTGAGCATTTATGAGCAGGTCGATTTTGAGTGGTTTTATTGGTGGTTTCAAAAACAGTCAAATCCATGCTTGAGAGTTTATTATTCACCGGTTTTGAAAGTAATTTAAAAAAATAAAATTATATATATGTCCCTTATAGTAAAATATTCAGTTTATAGTTTCTTGTATAATTTTTTTTTATTCATACGTGATATTTTACTTATAAGATTTTTTACACTTAGGTTAATATTTACTTTAAAAAGTTAAAATTTTAGTTAAAATTTTAAGTCAGTATTTTTTACTTAATTTTTTTTTTTACAATTATTAGTTAATTATGTACTTTTAAATAATTTTACACATAAGTGATTCTTTTTTACTTAAAAGAACTTTAATGTTTTATAAGTGAATTTTTAAACCATCTAAAACCGGTGCGCCAAAAACTTAGCAAGCACATGTTCTTCCAACATCTCATAAACGGTGCCACTCAAAATCGGTCAAAACTGGTGATAAAAAAACTCCCAAGCAGGCCCTAACTATATGACACATCCTAAATCTATCTTCCTTGTCAATGAACCGAGGACAAGGAGACGTGACATACTACAATCACGTACAGAAGTAATCAATTCACTTGAAGGGGATTCAAGCTTGTAATAAAAAAGGACTGTCTTTTTCTCCTCATCTACTTTAGGACACTCGGAGAAAAAATCGAATGGCCTCATCCCAAAAAGTTCAATGCTTGGTCTTGCTCTCAGACCTATTCCTAGAGATAGGAACTGATGAGGAAACTCCGAATGATCAATTTTCAATGAAATCCTTTGCCAAATAGGGTAAAATACCAAATACCAAACTAACTGATTTGGCACTGAACCAAATCAAACAAAGAGGTCCAGCCGTCCAGTTAATTAGTTTCAGAGGGTTGTTTCAACTTTCCCCATCCCACAATTCCAGTTCAGTTCACAATTAAGGTTCTACGCCAATCAACCACAACTAATCAGGGCAATGGAATGTGAGAATCTGCAAGGTGGTCACCATTCCATACTCCTGGCCATAAATTTTCTCATACTGGCAGGCCCAAAAAAATGTTTCAATATGTGTAATGTGATGTCAATCATACAGATTATTTTCAACAGATGGTTCATACTTATTTAATACTCGACATTTTCCTATATGGCAAATAAGGTTTATACTACCACATGTAAGCAAGATTTTTATATGAATGGCTCACCCGGAATAGGTACAACATCATCTCCTTGATGAAGAACCCACGCAAGAGCAAGTTGAGCAGGAGTGCATCCATGCTTCTTAGCCAATGCTTCTATACGAAAATAAATGGCTTTGTTCTTATCAAAGTTCTGTCCTGTAAACCTTGGGAGATATTCCTGATGGCACGAAAATTATGAACAAATAGTAAAAATTAATAAATGATGAAACTTCTAAATTAAAAGATTACAAGATGAAAATGAAAAGATATAGATGCATACACACCAATACACTATTTGGAGGCACGCTTTCCACTATAGCCTTTCCAGCAAAAAATCCTCGGCCTACTGGACTGTATGGAACTATTCCGATCCCAAGTTCCCTAATCACCCATTCCAAAAGGAAAAATCTTATATGAGAAAATAATCAATGAACACGAAGGATGTAATACATACCATGAAGCATAGTAGTGGAAAGAAAATTAACCTGAATGTTGCAAGAATGGCATTGATAGAAAGGAGGACACTTCTAGTACTTTAATAAAAAATACAATGTCCAATAAACTAACCGAGACTGCAGTTTAATCTATTAAACATACAAGTTTAACATCAAGGAGAAAAGGCACACAAACATGAACTATTACATTAGAAATTAGCAGCAGTGAATTGTAATATTAACCCTAGGAGGAAAAAGACATCAAGTACTTCATGTAGCAAAAAATTAATTTGAAATGCAAACATCTGCTTGTAAGTTCCCACTTAAATTGTCGCCAAAAATGTAATATTTTGGACAATCAGGATTACAATAGAAACAATTGAGAAAATGGAAACCTGCAAAGTGGAATTATTTCTTCTTCAATGTCACGAGTCCAAAGGGAATATTCCATTTGTAGAGCAGTAATAGGATGTATTGCATGAGCCCTCCTTATTGTGTCTGGACTAGCTTCAGATAACCCAATATATTTAATTTTACCTTCGTCAACTAACTTTTTAAGCTCTCCCATCTGCAACTCAAAAACAATTATATTAACAAGAGGGAAACACATTGATAGTGAATGGGAAGCACGTTAAATAAAACGAATGCAAGCCAACAGAAAATAGTTTTAATTGACCACTTAATAAAATGGATATGTCATTATTAAATATGTAAATGTACTCACCGTCTCTTCAATAGGTATGGTAGTATCAATTCGGTGTATATAATAGAGATCAATATAATCCACATCAAGACGCTTTAGGCTAGCCTCACAGCAAGAGCGGGCATATTCACGAGTTCCTTTTATTATAATTTGAGAAGCATTGGTTTCAACTATACCAAACTTCGTAGCTAACTGAATCTTTTCTCGAGGTAACTGTTTTAATGCCTGCAATATATATGACAAAAAGCTAAAGGTAAGCATAACTTTATTAATTAATTGAATAAACAATTTATATCACTCTCAAGGAGAAACTTTCACAAATTTAAACTTTGTAATATTAATTTCCATGGTAAAACTTCGCATAACTCACAGACACATTAGCTAAAACTTTTATCGACCATATTCTTACCATTGCATCCTGACTTTTGTAAGCAAATTTTTTAGCACATTGATAATTTGACACTAACTTACGTAATAGACAGCAACAATTTTCAAGCAGAAGAAGATATTCAAGAATGAAGCTGTCTGTCATTTATTTCTTTTTGTTATCAAATTCCTATCTCATTGTTTGTAACTATTACTAAGGAGTTAAATATGAGAAAATGGAGCTTCTGGAATGGAAGAACTTGATTTTATACTGGAAAACTTCAGTTAAGTTTTACCCGATACCGTGTATTATCATTTCAGTTGTTCACATCATCCTTTAGTGACAAAAGAAGCAAAGGTATCTTGCCAGCATATAAGTTCAAATGTTACCAAGAACAAGTTTCTCAGAAAAGTATCTACCTTCCCCACCAAGTACTCGTTGGCATGGTTTGCACCATAAACATCCGATGTGTCCAAAAATGTAACACCTTTACTAAATGCCTCTTTGATTATTGCAATTCCTTCCTCCTCAGGAATAGGAGAGTTGTAGTTTCCAGTAAGCCCCATACAACCATAACCTAACTTCGATACCTGAGAGCAAAAACACATTTCACTGGATAAAATAATGAGATTTAAGATGACATTAGTTGAAGAAAACTAATAAAATTAATTATTTGCTGATCAATTTGCCAAAGCTTTACAAGGGAATATACCAACAATTTCAGCATATGCAAGGCATCAATATTGCAAGACTTCTATATCTAAACTTCTCCTTCCTTTCTGAACCCCATTTCTCATGCCTTAACATATAGAGAGAAAATATGTAAGTGCCACCTACACCAAGACTTCATTATACTGTTTTAACTCGACTTCATCATAATTGTTTCATACCCAGAGGGCCAGATCAATACACTTCGTTTCTATACTGTTTTAACTCGACTGTCGGAGTGGGAAAGGTCTTTCTCCTCACGAGTCTTGTTTTTGCACTTAACCATAGCGGAATAGGGTGTCTATCCTGGCAAGTTTTTGAGTTCAATGTATTTATTTTGTGCTTCTTGATGACCCAGATATAAAAATAACAAAACAAGACTGAAATGGTTTCCAATAAAAACATGGCAACAAAAATATTCCCAGAAACAAAAGAACTTCAGTCGACAAAAACAAATTATTGAACAATCAAAGCAAAAGAAAAGAGAAGAGAAAGTGCAATCCACATACCTCAAGTCCTTGGGTTCCAAGTTTAACGCGCGGCATCTCAAATTGTTCAGCCATTGCTAAACTTTCTTCTTGATCTTCGAACTAAACAGTGCCTCTTCCAGTGAATTGAAGCTTTTCAAGCATTTCCCCGTTCCCGTAAATATATACATATAATAAGTTTTGTGGTGTCTGATGTCACCCATTACGTCATGGTTACTCCAGCAATCACGAATCATCCTTTGACTAAAATCACAGACCATGTGTAACAGGTGACATAGCACTCTCTCATTTAATAGTTTAAATAAAAAACAATTTTTACAAGGAAATTTTCATTCGTAAAGAATAGGGGTGGGCGCGGGTCGGTTGGGTTCGGTTGGGTTCGGTTTTTTTCGGTTCCAGAAATTTTCGGGTATTTAGTAAATGGAACCGTCGGTTCCAAATATAATTTTGGAACCATTCGGTTTCGGTTCGGTTCGGTTCTATTCAGTTCCGTTCGGTTCCGTACTATAATTAAATTTTTTAACATTTAAAATAATACTATATAAATATACCTTAAAGTGGATACCAATATTAATA